ATCTACATATATCATCTCAGATCAATATATATGGAACCAATATCATTCTACAACATTCAATTATCAATAGTTAAATCATCAAATATACATTATCTCATATCAATATATAAAGAACTAACAATATAAATCAACACATAGTCAAAAGTATAGAACAAATACAATTATACTATAAACTTCAACTACAATATGGATATACCAAACCTCCATATTGTTCCATATTAATCCTAGAGAAGACACAAAAAAAAACATTCTCGTTTAAGAGTTAACTCACTCGGTAAAGGGTTTTCAACTTTGACCTTCAAAGCGCCGCAACTGATATTCATATAATGAGATATGAAAACTTTCAAAAATAACTTTGATCATCATTATACATCATCATAATTCAATATATAAAACTACCTACAATCATCATCATACACCATGTAAAACAAACAACACTACAAGATATATAAAGAAGATTACAAGTATAAAAGGAAACAAGGGTTTCAAGCACCCCTAGGCTACCAATAATTAGCTCGAAGCCACCAACAACTAGCTCGAAGCTACCAACACCTAGCTCAGAGCTATCAACACCTAGCTCAGAGCTACCAAACACCTAACTTTGAACTACCAACAACTGGCTCAAAGTTACCAAACACCTTGGTCGGGGCTACCAACACTCAACTCAAAGCTACCAAACACCTAGTTCAAAGCTACCAATAGTTAGCTTCAAGCTATTAGACAACTTGTTCAAAGCGACCAACAACTCACTCTAAGCGACCATAGTTCATTTAGATTGCTCGACAACTTGCTTGAAGCAACAAAAATTCACTTAAATTGACCCAAGCTAGAAAGTATCTCTGAATAACGATCCAAGATTTCTTTGAGTGACCCCAAGGGCTACTATAAGCGACCAAACCCAACAAACATGCATGACTTCAAGAATATCAATAACTTAATAACAACCTCAAATTCTCTCAACCTATACAAAAATACATGCATGCAAACTCAAAGTTTTTCAATTATAACAACATGCAACTCATAATTTGAAGAAAATGAGACGTGTAACAACAACACATCAATTTGCCACCATTAAACCTCCCCTTCTCCACCAAGAACACCAAAACACTAAGGATCCACAAAATACAACACCCACCCCCAAAATCAAACATGTTAGTAAACATTCAACAAGAATCAAGGTACATGAAACACCACAATCTACTAAGATCAAGTTCTAATTTCTCTTAGCTCAACGTCAAGCTAATCAAGAATGGAGAAGAGAAAGAAGAGAATGGTTTTGAGCTTTTGAGCTCTACACCTACACCACTAATTCTGAGCTTCGAATGCTTGAAGTAACAACTAGTCACTAACAACATGACTCTAAAACTCCCAGAGAAACTAAGAGAAAAGAAGAAAAAGGGGTTAAGCACTAAAACTCTCCGACCCACCACAAATCACTATAACAACATAAAACCAAGTAAAGAGAATTGTTGACCCAACAAGTACAATGTTACAATCGAGATTTCTCTTAAACGATCTAGAATTTCTCGTTTAAGGGATTATGGTTAAAATATATTTGTTGACTATTTGATTAACTTAATAATTACTGAAAGCGGATAATAATTGAGAAAGATACATATAAGGAAAGTTAGTAAAACAACCCATGATATTTTTCATTCATTAATTTTTAATTCTTATTTTAATTTGCCTTTTTATTTTTGAAACCCTAAAAATACATTCTTTATTTTTTATGCATTCTTAAAACAAATATTTCTTTTTATTTTCCTTAATTAGCATTAAATTAAATTAATCAATTGTAACACAAGTCTCTATAGATTTTATTTAGACTTCTATCTATTTTATTACTTACAACAATTGGTATGCTTGCAAAGAGTCTAATATTTAGTGTGTTGTTGATTTATGTATGGAGGAGGACAAATAATTTTGTTTACTATACTACCTTCTTTTTTTATTCTCCCAAATTTTCAATCTAATTTTTTAATAATAGTTGTCACATCATCAAATGACAATGATATTAAAAGGATAGGGTAAAAAATAATAATGAATAGTAATTAATTATTAAAATTGGTCAAAATTTATCGAAAAAGTAAAAGTAAGGTTCATGAAAAGTTAAGGGATTAAAACTAGTAAAAAAATTAAGAATATAAAAGTGAATTTTGTTGAAAGATTTAGGACTAAAAACATAATTTGAAAAATAGAAATTCACACATAATTATCGCGTGAAACTAGTTGATGATATGACTATCAACGTAACTATATCACACCATCATTTAACAATTATTGTACTTGAAGACAAGCATTAAAAATGAGAGAAAATAGAATTAAAAATAAAATCCTAAAAAATAATAAGTGTTAAAAATATATTTACAGTTTATTTGATTGTGGTGAAAGTAAACAAGTAATGAAAAACAACATAATTGATGAGCATGTGTATTTGTCTATTTGGTATGCATGAAGGTAGCTACAAAACGTAATGTAATTGAAGTAGGGCTTGCAATTTCATTTTGATCTTATATATGCATCAAAAAGGTCAAAATGCACGATAAAAACAAGTTCATAATGCATAATTTTTCATTTTATCTTTGTCTCCCTCTCATTTTTACTTTTTATACATCCACACTACTATCATAAACGATAATGACTTGTAAAATTAAAGAATTTCTACTATATTATAATCAACTATGAGATTCACATAATTGATTATGACTTAACTTAGATTCATGACAAAAAATCATAATCGATTAAGATGAAAGACATAATTGGTTATAATTAGTTGATTTTCATATAATTAATTAAAAAATTAAATAAATACATTTTTTTAAAAAAAATTAACATAATTATACCATTTCCTTAATTATATTAAAAAAAATGAATGTACCACAAGTTAAGATGATTATAAGAACCTGTTTATTCAAGTGGGACTTAACCGGTTAACCAGTGACCTAACTCAGGGACTGTTATCGTATATGTTCCCCAATTTTCTTCTACTAGCAAAAGTACCACTGTCCCATCCTTCTTAATTCTTCCGACATCTGCCACTATCACCAATGTACACTCTCAAGTTTGTGTGACCTGCGTTGTTGTTGTTGTTGTTCAATTACCAACTTAACTGATCAAGAAGAATCCCAGTTCGTAAAGCCAGATTGGGCCTAGATACTGCTTGATTGAATCAAAGATTAGACATCTTCCCAATTTAATATTTTAAACAATATTATTTTACAAATAATAACTGGTTTTTTTTTTTTTTGGTAAAGAATAACTGGTTGATTTAAGTGGCACATGCTTTATATATTGTTTTAAATAATTTTGGAATTCGAGTCTTTATGTCGAAAAATATCTCTGCTCTACGTTAAGATTACCTTCAAAGAAAGCCTGTCATTCCGGGGGAAAATCTGTACTGTTATTACTGTTATACTTGTTTTGTGTTTTGAAAACTGCATCTCACCATACTTATAACAGCTTATTCTAATAGTGATATGGTTAGGAAATTTTCATTATATATAAAATAAAATAATCCTTAAATAAGGATGTTTTCAGAAATAATTCTTTAATATTTTTTTATATAAAATAAATATTTATCTGTTTTTATATACAACTCAAATATCTAATTTATCAATATTAAGAAAAGTAATTTATTAGTTGATAATAATAAATTTATCATATTTTTATATATTCTTTTCAAAATAAATATTACTTTTTATTTTAATTAATATGCATATAATGTATGTCATATATTATTTTTCTTTTATAATATTGTTTATTTTTTTAATTAGAATGTATGTCTTTTAAATTATCAATAATTTATTTCATCAAATTAAGAAAATATATTTTAATTAAGAATATTTTAGTCAAAAAATTAATTAATATATCAAACATTATGAAACGAGTCTTATATAAATGAACAAATAATTGTTCTAAGTTGAATTTCATATATAAAAATGAAAATATTATTAAAATATTGGTCAAATAACAACAAATCATTGATCCGAAGAGTTTTTCAATCTCTTTAATAATAATTTCATATTCATGTATTATATATGGAAAAAAAATATTTTAAAAAAGAGAATATATTAAAAAGTAATAAAAAAAATTGTACCTATGTGAATGGCACACTAGTATCTTCTCGTACTCTGAAAGTCGAACGAGAGCTCCGTGCAAATATTCCAGTGAGGGAAGTACCTGCAAAAGGCACTCCGACGCTCAAGTCAAGACAAGTACGAATATCGATAGTGATTAATGAACAGTGACGTTACCTCGAGATACAAACTATTTATAGTGACATTAATGACTTTGCCCTCTATGGGACCTGTACTAGGATACCTAATTAGGTAATACGTCCTGAATTGGCTTATACACATGATTAACCTTTAATCACTGTCTAGAGATGACTACTGACTCCATGAATTACTCCGCCAAAGGTCTTTCGACCATCATAGGTGTCGATCGAGTGTCGGCAACCAGGAACGACAAGCCGATTTGGCAGCGTGATTCCTTTCGACCCTCAACTAGGCTGATCTAATGTAAATGACCGATACGCTTTTGCAAAGACAGTTCGAGCATAGTCTATTTGGCCACATACTGTGTTGAGCGACGTGCTGAAGGGTATGACTGAATGACCTTACCTGAACAAAAATATTATTGAAAAAAAGAATATATTAAAAATAATGGACTAAATTCCTGATAGAAATTAGTCACATGCGAAACAAGAAAATATTTATAAAAAAAAATGCAGTGTTTGAGTTAGATAAGGTGTATAGAAGGAGGATGGAAGTATCGTTGAGGATAGTTGTAACCGAATGAAAATGACTTACAAATACAATAGCTGGACAAACAACCCAACATCCTACTACCGTTAGAGAGTACTCTAGCCATATGCAAGCTGTGATCGGATATCTCTTTATATTATGTTGCAAGTCTAAATAACACCACATATATATAATTATTTTTTCTGCATAATATATATATATATATATATATATATAGTTCAACCACAACCTACCATGGTTGCACTTGATAAGAGGCCCAAGGGGAGGCCATCTGGCTCAAAGAATAAGCCCAAATCAGCCATGGACATGTTCAAACCCATAATCTTGATAATTTCAACTGGCATGAACATTATCGATGCCATCATCGACTTTAGTCACAAGAAGGATGTCAGCATCGCTGTGCACCATGCTTCGGGTGCCATATCTGAGGTTAACATTTTCAACCCTTTACCCCCTTCTAATTGTTGGTCCTTTCAAGGAAACTTGCATATGTTTTATCTCTCAGGCTTTTATACCAAAAGCATTTCACCTTTTCCCCCTAACAACGTTCCTTATTCCTCCTTTAACATTCAATTCTCAATGGATTGGGTCCACCAAACCTTTGGTGGCCTTGTCGGACGCAAGTTGATTGCTGCGGAACCTGTGCATGTCTTTGCTTCTATCTTCAAGGAGAACGAGTGTGAAGGGGTGGTGAATCCTATCGCAAATCCAAATGTTCAATCTGTTATGATGAGTACTCATGTTACCCATTGTGTTGCTGATGCTTTTGTTGCCAACACTGACAACACAGTCTATCACCCTAGTTTCTCTATTGGAGCTTCAACCTCATCATCTTCAATGAATGACCAACCTCTTGATGCTTCTCCTGGAGATGTGAACATGCTTTATTGGAACGACCCCACCAACTAGGACAATAATTACCATGAGAGATCACCAAGTTTCATCTACAACTTTGTGTGTCTAAAATAATAAAATAATGGGCTTATTGTAAAAAATTTCACCTATGTATGTGTGTGCCTAAAAAAGGCAGAGAATAATAATATAAACATATTTTCTATGATGTTTAATGTTGAAGTTTTTCTTTTTTTTAATAAATTTTTTAGATTTCTTAAACAAGGGGGCTATGGTGGCCATAAAGCGTAGTTTTGAAAGTGGCTCTGTCCAATTCGATCGGGACCTAAACATACGACCCAAGTCAAGAATTGGATCAATTGTGCTACTAACCCAATGGTGACATCATCAAACTGAGGAAACCTAGTCTAAACCGCGTTAACTCAATCTGATCAGACCAATTTTCTTTTTTGAATTTGGAGCTCCGTAGAACTACCACTACAATAAAATTTAGTATTACCGACAATTATTTAATGACAATAAATTAATTGTCTCTATTTTATTATTTAATAAAAATATTAATGACTATTATATAATGGTTACTAAAAATGTATTTACATCACATCAAAATTTACTATTAGCGATAATTATTTGTTAGAAAAAACTTAAGTCCCACATCGACTATAAATAAAATTATTAAAGAGTATATAAGTGAATGATAACTCTCACCTTACAAGTATGTTTTATAAGGTTGAGTTAGGTCTATAACTTACTATTCTAAGTTGATATTTAGGAGATAAGATAATTAAAAAAATTAAAGAATATATACTTAGAAGATAACCTTCATCTTCTAAGTCCCACTTCAATTAAAAATAAGGTAACTAAAGAGTATTTGTACGCATCTTACAAGTCCTACATCGACTAAAAATAAGATAATTAAAGAGTATTATAAATCTTTTCTTAAACTTTTAGCGGCAATTTTAAATGTCAATAACAAATGACACAAAAAGTTATACACTTTTCTCGACTATTATGAGGGTCTTTACTAGCACATAGAATAATTGCTGGTAAATATTTTAGCGACACTGCATACAATGGCTAATGTATGAAATGCCGGTAAAAAATTTTGTAGCAATTTTTATTACCACTAAAAGTCATATTAAATGTCACTAAAAGTATTTTATTGTACTCTCTCCATTTTTTATTCATAGTCGTTTAAGGTTTTGCACGAGACTTAAGAAAATGATTAAAATTTTAGTTTTCAAAAATATATATTACTTACTTCCTATTCTACCCTCTATTTTTTTATAGTATTTCATTGGAAATATATTATCCTTTTAAATGCAACATTAACTTCACATAAATGGTTAGAGAAAAAATAGGTAGACATTAGAAATAAATAGACACAATGTTCAGCAAAACATACATTAATTATCAAGAGTAAAAATGAGAAAAAAAATTAATAAGTCATTGATTTTAGTAAAATGACAATGAAAAAAAAATGATAAATTCTGACAAAATGACTATGAATAAAAAACGGAGGGAGTAGTGCTCTTTTCTCAAGCCTCGCACTTACCTAATTTTTCATGCCTCGGGACTCACCTTTATTAATGTCTCGTGTGCTACTTTATGTCTTGGGACTCGCCTCCCACCATTGTTGTTGCTACATTGATTTGTAGTTGGTAGTTTTAGATCAAAGTAATTATTCAACAAAATAAAATAATGGTTAAAATATCTTTTTAGTCTCTATAATTTTATTTTCTTTACCTTTTAATCCTTGTAATTTAAAATAAACATTTAGTCTCTATTATTACTTTTTTTAATTCTTTTTAGTCCTACAGTTTAAGATAAACCTTTGTAGTCCTTATATTTGCAATTTTAATTTTTTAATCCTTTTACTCTTTGACATTATTTTTTTTGTAACGTTATCTCTTTTGTATTGATATAACATAAGCCTTTAACTTTATGTTTTTGATGTCAAATTTATTTTGTTGAATTTATTTTAAATTAGGTCTCTTAACGCTTTGTGTCTCTTTTTTATCCTCACATTTGACATCCATTGTTGATATACCATTTTTTACCCCTCATAAAATTGAAAACATCTATCATTCTAATACAAAGATGTTACAAAAAAAATAACGACAAAAACGAAAAAGGATTAAAAAAGTAAGTATATGAACTAAAAAAAAATATACCTTGAACTATAGGAACTAAAAATTATTAATAAAGATAAATATAGGAACTAAAAATATTTATTTAAAACTATAAGAACTGAAAGATAAAGTAAGCGAAACTATAAGAACTAAAAATATATTTTGACCTAAAATAATATTCATAGAAAAAGTAACTTAACCACTGCACCACGAAAATATTTTGATCAAAGATAGACAAAAATAATATATACACGTGAATGAAATTATATTATCTTCGTCCTTATATATAAAACCTTTTTCACTTTTTTGGTTGTCCCGTATTATAAGACTTTCTTCTAATTTTCAACTGCATTAATTATATTTTCTCTAAAATATTCTTATTTAACAAATAATTTTTTTAGACAAAAGATAGCAAATACTTAAAATTAATTAAATAAAAACTGTCTTTTAGGTTTGAAGAAGGTAAATAGACAGACGCACACATAGGGACGGATTTATATGTTTGGGAGCGGATGCAATTGGCTCCATTAAAATTTTACTCTCTCTCATTTTTTGTATATATTATTTTTTTTATAATATATAAATTATATTTTAGATTTATAATAAATAACTTAAATTACCATACAAGACTATATTTTAATTTTGAAAATTTTAAAATGTTATTAAAATTTGCTTTTGTTATTTCTACTAAAAATTAATTTATATTCAAATATTAGGTTATTAAATATAAATGATAATTTATATTCTATGATTTTTCGCGAGCGTGTGCGTTCTTCCAATCCAACTTTTATGTTAAGCATGAACCTATAATAATTTTTTTTGGTAAAGATAGGAAATATTATAAAAATAGTCGCAATGAGAATTGAACATAGATCCTCGTGCTTCTAATTACCCCAATCCCACCCCACCCAACTATTAGGCTAATCCTAGTGATTAAACCAACAATAATTTTATATTACGATTCAAGTTAATGATAATTAGGATAATGGAAAAATAGTAGTCTTTAACCTCTAATAACTACTTATTTAGGAAGTCTTTTTTGATTAATTAAAAAAGGTTTGAACTTTCATAGATGTTGTTCCTTCTATTATAAGGATGAAAATAGGTCATTTGTCGAGCACTTATAACTTAAGCTTGTTTAGACTTTTTTACCCAACGTAGCGAGGAGATTAGTCACTGCTGTCGGTGGTGGATACTCCAGAGATGAAAAAAAAAAGACTTTTTTACGAAGTTAATTAGGTTAAGTTTTTCTTAAAAAAAAGTTGTTAAAAAATTAGTTTTAATAATTGACTTATTTAAATAAATAATAATGTGCTATTGTTATACTAAATTCATTGTAATATTTTGATTAAAAATCATTATAATATCATATTCATTACTGTTTAATGCAATTATTATTCAAAAGATCTTACTTGAACTGTGACAACTGAACATTATTTTAAAAAAAAATATATTTTCAACTTAGGTTATACTTTTGAAAAAAGTCCATGTCTAGTAAATATGAAAGGTTCAGACCTTAAATTTAAGAAATAGATGAAACTCAAATCCTATCAAATGTAGCCTAGCCAATTTAACTCATTTCCACTCCTGTATGAATAATTCTTAATTATTTTATCCACAATATTAATACTATATCATTATTGCAAGCTCCCCGTGCATATGGTAGTAATAAACGAGCACCATGGCATCTAGTACTCGTGTCGTGGGGAATCAATTCTCTCCGCTGAAATTTTTATTTTCATTTTATCTGGTGAAAAATTTTATAATTAAAATTTTATCATTTTATTATTTTAAAAAACAATTATCATGTAAGAACATACATTCCATAAATACATAATATTTATTATTAAAATATTTTTATCCACTATAAATACAATACATATTAATATATTATATTAGTGTATTATTATTAAAAAGTGTAAATATTGATTATAATGTAATTATTGAATCTCATTTAAAATTAATATTAAAATTGAGTATAATTATATATTAATTAAATTTATATATATATATATGATATTTATAATAACATTTTTTATATGCTAGTATATTTAATATTTTTTTTTTAGTTTGTTAAGAATTGAGATTTTGCTAAATAAAACGTGAGATACGATCTAAGCTTTTTTTTTAAGATTTCAGCGATTGCTTTTTACAGTACAGTTTATGTTTTGGGACAGGGGGAAAAGTATCCCAGTTTAAGATATACAAGAAAACCATCAAATTTAAAAAATACATAAAAAAGTATATTTAATTACCTCACTTCAAAGTGAGTCGGGTTAAATATTTTTTTATTCATTAGTAGGGCTTAAATGCGCAGCAACACACGAATATCTAAAATTATTATAAAAAAAAACACTTATAGGAAGTATATATGCAGAATTAATTAATATCAAACGTATATGGTCAGTTTAGTGGTAAGGATTTTGTATAATTAGCATAAAATTTTAAGTTTAAATTTTATTGTTATTACTGTATATGAAAAATAACAGAAAAATTATTATACAGCCTCCAATCTATATATAAATTCAAGAAAAAGAGTAATCGATCACTTTAATTTATAAATAAATATTATAAATTTTTATTTTATCCTAATTAATCCTTAAATTTTATCTAATTTATAAATAGATATAATGAGCTTTAATTTTATTTTAATTAATTTTTAAACTTTATTTTTCTTACAAATAAACACTGTTAACTTTAATTTCATTTTAGTTGATATTAACATTTGATAATTTATTATTTTTTACAAAGTTTTGATGTTATTAATTTAGAGTTAAATTATTTATCTTAAATATCAATATTTACTAATTTTTTATGTTATAATTATTTTTTTCAAAATGTAATAAAAGTACAAGTATAACGACTCGTCATGATCCCTACACTTAGTGGAATCGCACTAAAAACAATGAACTAAGATAAATAATA